AAAGACCTCCCCTCTGCCTCCAATTTCACGGTTTGCCGTCGTACTGCACTGGCCAAATTGTCCTTCCGAAGGGACCGACACTAGATGCCACATTTTAATTTTTATACTGAGCGTCTTCAAAATTTGCCTTTTTTATACAGAAGCGCCGCAAAATATCACATGCGTGTGGCACTGTCAGGCGAGTTCCTTTCTCTCTGCGGAAACTTTTTCAACCGTCTACGAGTCCAGCTGGTATATCATTCAGATGTTCCAGCTAGACACAACTTTATGGAAGCGCAAGGGGCGGGAGAAAGAAAAGAGGACATAAGGCAAGAGAAAAAATGATCAAGCTGCGATTTTACTAAATTCGCTGCGAAATGAGACGATTGTGTTCTGCAACGCCCTGTTTTTTTTTTTGTTTGTTTTTTTTTTGTTTTTTTTAAGTATTTGACCACCAAAGATGACCGCTCTAAGCGGGAGGTCACACTTTTGTATGCTACTCCCTCCGCAGTAGCACATCCGCGATTCTACTTTCTTGGGGAGATGAACTTCTCTCCTGACGTTCATTGACTGGTGTTTCAATAGAAGTTGTTTCTCTCTCTCTCTCTCTCTCTGCCAACCTATGCTCCCGTTCACAGCTTTCTTATGCTTATAAATGGAATGCAGGCGAAGTGCGTTTTCCTTCATGGCACTTCAAAAACCGCGAAACTAGTTGTTGTTTTTTTTGTTTTTTTTACGAGTCAAAATTATGTTCTGGGTCTGTCATTCCAGTCAGTTTCACGCTGTCAGCTACTCCGGTGTGATTGCTGTTGGTTTTGCTAAATGGCGAGCCCTGCTGCTAGAGTATGTTGACCCGCCTTAAATAAGCGAGGGGGCATGATTCAGAATCGAATGTTTTTTTTTCAAGACCCAAGTCTATAAAGTTAGTAAGCATACACCGCCGTGAACAAATCTGGTGTCTCCGTGCAGTTTGTGGCACGTCGCGCTGCAGCAATGTGTTTCGCGCGCATTGCCCACCGCCGTCAATGTCTAAGCTTGTGTGTGCCTCGCTGTTCAGGAAGCACAGGACGCCAACTTCGATGACGGTGAACACGAAGATGCTGGAGCGCGTTTCCGCTTGAGCTGCGGCCATTGAAGCAAATCTCTCGGAAATGCGGCGGACGGAACGGCCGTCGAGAAAATGTTTCTGTCCTGACTCCTTGTGTCCCGCGGAAACTCGGAACGAGCCTCGGGAGACCAGGCTGCATCCCTTGCAGTCCCCCTCTTCGATTGCTCCCGTGAGACGTATGGAGATAGTGGATGTTGCCATGCGTGTCTGCGCGCGTGCGGTGCGCACGGCTCGCGTCGAATGAGGCACGTGGTCTTACGTCTCCTTTCTAACCCCCGCTGTTCGCCCATTTTTCTTCAGATCGAGAAGCGCGTGTTGTTCGTGCAAATGTGTACACAATTCTGCGGGCGCTTGGGTTTTTCGGAAATGTCAATGACGGGGGGGGGGGGGGGGGGGGTATTGGAAGTGTGGGACATGGGTACGCTAGATGTCACAGAATAATAAATATCGTATTTTATGGACTGTAGTCCGCACCCTGTGTATATATAGTATATTCCACCGACGCAAATTTTGGCTGAATTTTTATTTTTTTTATTTTTTCTTAGGCAGTTTGCACCTGGTGCATAGACCGAACCCTTTGTCCATATTTTACTCTTGCTAATAGTTGTATGTCGTTGGCTCACCGAAAAACAGCCCTCTGTGCTAACTAATCAAACAATACGAATGTAACTCATTCTAATAGATCTCATTGTTTTCATAATTCGCAATGTTTTAGCAGAAACGAAAATGAGCGTGAATGCTCTTCATTTTGGGAGGCAATGAGACTATCGTTACATAAAAAACACCGCAGTCGCTTATTGACTTGTAATAATAATTTTACAACTGCAAAGAGCTTGTGCTTGTGCCATCAAGATCAAGCTTGATTCGTATTGTCTGCCTGTGCGCAGGACCTTGACTCACCCGCAATCGGCGGGAGCGTTGAGGGAAAAAGCAATACGCCAAGTCCCAGCTTTTCTTGTAGGCTAATGCCCGGTGCGAAACAGATTGATCTCAATAACCGTGCCCCCCCCCCCCCCCCCTTCCTAGGCGACATCCTCATTACAAACGAACGATTTGAAAAACATTTTGTATAGTCAGCACCTTTAGATGCCCACATCGCGTAGAATATTAACTTTGAAACATGAATAGTCTCAGGGCTCTAGTCTGAAAAACCCGATAATTTAAAGTAGACATTGTTTAGACGCTTGTTTTGAAATCACGGGTGAAATAGGCTGTAAAGGGGATCGGCAGTGTTTAGTTTGCGGGAAAAAGAATAAAATATTTCGAGATTGTCAACCGCAAAAATAAGAATTTATATTCATGCGAGAGATGTGACATATAATCGCATAAACTCAAATGTTTAGGCTGAAATTAAGTGATGCACGGTGACAATCTTAATGTCATTTAAACTGAACCTTTCTGGAATGTTCAGACACTCCTCTTGTATATGCAGGTTTATAATAACCCGCTGCCTTGATTAATACAAAATTGACGACTGCTGTAGTTTGTCACAAATTGCTTTTAGACTATTTGAAGTCTTGTCAACCGAAACAATATTGTAAAATAATTGTATTATTGGATTTTATCTGAGCCCACTTTCCTTACAACATATGCAACTTTTCTTTCTTTTTTTTTTTTTGTTTTTTTTACGAGCGGTAACAAATCAATTTTTTTGTTTTGTTTATATACATTCAATGCCGCTTTGGAAGTGACGTTTATTTTCATTATGCAAACTTTCTGCCAGCACATTTGATTATGCAATGAACAAATATCTCCGACCTTGATATTGCTTTTTGGATAACGAGGGGCGAGTACTCTTAAATAAGAGAGAAGAAGAAAAAGATGGGTCCTCCACTTCGTTTTCGCTTGCACACTCAAAAGAAACAGGCGTATTTTTAATGTTGCTCTTGCATGGCAATAAGTTCGAAAAGTCTCAAGGATAATATGCGAGCCAACTTTCCACATGTAAGATTGAGATGGGCTTAAAAAAAATATCAAAAATTGCCATTGGGAGCACGCGCGCACTGAATCGATCTTCATTAATCTTTAGTCAAATCTGTTTATTTTCATTTTATTTTTTACAGTCAGAGGATACAGAATTGCGCACGTTGCTTCAAGTTCAAAAACTGGACGTCGAGGGTTTCCTTTTATGTTCATGGTTTCTTATTGTGTACCGTCATCGGTGTATCTAGTGTTTTTTGTGTTGGGTCTGCTGTTCAACGAGTGGATTATGTCACGGTAATGTTTTCAACGTATTTTGGAAAAAAAAAAACGAAAAAAAGATGGAACAATAGTTTTTCGCAACATAATGTATGCAGTAGAAGCCGCTCTTCCATCGCGAACTTTCTACCATCGGTAACAACACTATGGTGTCTCGTGATCACGCGCAGTCAAAGCACGATGGAAGGCAACGAGCGCGTGCTGGAGGCGGAGCTTGTCTCGGAGGTCTTATGCTGCAACAGACCATAGGTGCCACCAGGTACTTAATTTGCGTAATATTATTCTTAAATAACGAATATTTTTGTCTTCGCATTAGCTTCTTGTGGGATATCCAAAGTGATAACAAGATGTAGAAACATCATAATACTAAAACAAAACGCCACGTCACGTGACACTTCGACGTGACGCCGTGATTAAGCGATGCCTGTTTGGATTAGGGTGTCTTTCCGACTTGAAGAACGACCCGCTGGAAGTTTTGTCATGCGAGTGTCTTGTCGTTTAGACAATTATTATGTTCGACTATTTCCTACGCGGTTGCTCCATTTTCTACATAAACGGCGGACGTTAACATTCTTGTACGAGGCATGTTTGGGCCTATTGATTAGTTACGACTTTGTTCACTTCTAAACCATACAATGAACTATAATTTTAAAAATAATTATACAATGTATTGAACTACGAAGTCATTTTTTGAAAACACGCTTACACCTCTGTGGCGCTTTTTGCGGCGAACCAGTGAATCAAATATAGCTCAAGAAATTCATATGAGCGATATGGTGAAACCGCGATCATTGCAGTCACACAAATTAGTGCTAAAACGGAAAAGTTCATCGATTATATTTTCTGGAAAACAGATTTTGAAATGTCAAACGGGATGCATCTTGTAGAGTTTTAGCAGTAGCGTAAAGTGTCTGCTGGCGTCCTCGTGCCTGAGTGTCTGCGACAACATTGGACTTGTTAAAACTCCACGTGTGGCACAGGACATTTTAACATCGAGAATGACGACACCAACAAAAACAGAGAACACAAGGGGGACAAAGAGGAAGATAATGGGAAATGTAACTTAATAGTAAGTCGTACAGAGATACTTGACTTTATTTTCAAACACCGATTTTCATCGACTGGACCGAAATCTACAGAGCGAGTTCGTTCTTATAAATTGTTTTTCCTTTGAAGAAACACACGTGTAGCGGGATTCGCCTTCGACACTAAAATTCTGTATTAATTAAGAGTATTCCTTCTAACCGAACGGAAAATTGAAAGGAGCTCGAAGCAATCCTTGACAAAGCTTCTTAGTTGCTCGTTCCGCTGCTTCGCGCCTCGGTTCAATTCTAAATTGCCGCAGCCCTCGCAGCTGCATTCGCGGAGTGTCTGGCCCTTTCTCTCGGTCAGGCACCTGGTTGCTAGTTTAAAGGTTTATTTTTATTGCATTCCTCGAACGATTTCGCAGAGGCGCGTGAGAGGCGGGCTGTAGAGGATGCAAAGGACTGTCAGCCAGGAGGGCGACGCGGGGCCGGTGCAGAGTTCCAAGGTCGCGCGATGCCCGAGACTGACGGGCTGTGAGCGCGGCTGGCGAAGAAAAGCGGCGCAAGTCGTCGCGGGGCTTCCTGGACCGCGGACGTGGCCAGGCGTCCCCTGAGGGTCCTGAGCACGTGAGCAGTCATTCGGCCGGGAAGCGGACGACGAGCGCGCAGCCTTGCGCAGCGCTGCTTACCGTCCTTGTCGTAGTGGCTCCAGACGTCCATGAACTGGCTGGCCGTCAGGTTCTTGAGCTCCCTAGTCTTCTTGTCCCTGAACTGGCGCATGAAGTTGGCACTGCCCTTGCTGCCTGCCTTGATGCCTTCGGCCATACTGCTTTTGCCGGGCTCTTTAGCGGACGAGAGATAACACAGCACGAGGTGAGTTGGTGCAGGTAAGGAAGATTGGGGAGACGTTTCAAGGGTCGTCTGGGAAAACGAACGGACGCTCGCCGGGTTTCTGGTCTCGGGTCACGGCAGGGGGACGCTCGCGTGGAAGGGCGCGCTCAAGCTGGACCCGTCCGTCTGACTCAGTGGGGCTCCTCTCTGCGCGGTCGTGCTCTTGGCGGCAAGCTGCGGTGAAGGCTGCCGGCTGCTTCGGGAGACCGTCTGCGTTTGGGAGTCTGCATCTGACGGGGACGCGCACTCCTGGCTCCGCCGGGGGGCGCTCTCCTCTGCGCAGCCGCAGTATCGACCTGCCGCTCGCCGACCCACCTGCTGCCGACGCCGCCGATTCCACTGGGCTGATATCGAGAGTTGCGTTTCTCGGCCTCTCCGCAGGTCGGGCTCACCGCCGGGCCTCCTGGGGTCTCCCCGAGGCCTCGCCTCTACCTGTTTGCCACCGGCAATGCGCCACTAGGCGCCTGAGCAGGCGCTTGACTTGGCTCGCGCATCGGCACACAGGCGTCAAGTCCAAGCATTCCCACTCAGAGGGTCAGGCGATTCGAACTCTCCGAATGACTCTTTGGAGCGTGTCGGGTCTCGCGGCTCCTCGCTGTTCGGGAAAACTCGGGCGACTCTAATATAAAGAAAACCGCGCCTGAACGCTTGGCGAAACAATCGATAATTAGCGATGAAGTCTCGTTTACGACAGTTGGACATTTGTCTCACCGTTTCACCGAACGACGTTTTAGCGAATGCCACTGCTGTTGCCCCACACGCGTGGAAACGACTTCGACAAGCTAAACTACTGGAGCTGGTCTAAGTGGACTAGGCGGATATGCTCTCTTCCCTCGCAAATATTACGCACCTAGAGGTCTGTATCGTCACCTGCAAGCAGTAGACCGTTCTTCACCCCCCGAAGTCGGCACTTCGCTCCGACTAGTTCGATATGCTTGCGAGGCTAATAAAAAAAGAAAAAAAAAAGTAAAACTAATGGAATTGATGCGCTCGCCTGTTTTACATATTTCGCTCCGCCGGAATTTCCATCGTTTCCGAAGCCCTCTCGGCTACCGTACATTAAGCGTGTACCGTTAATAGGAACATCTACATTGAAGGCCAGTGGGAGGTCTGGCAGTCTAGCCGAAAGAGTGCCGCCGATCACGCTTTCACATGGTTTCGCCACGGTTTCGACTTTCAAGTTTCGACAAAACAGAATAAATATATTCTGTTTCGCTTGAATTTCACCCGCAGCCGAAGCTATAGACCAACTCAACCCACTGACGTCACTGCGGTGTGACGTCAGTCACACCGCAGTGGCGTGACGTCAGTGAGTTGAGTTTCTCTCGATACGCCACTGCTGTCGGTATTGCGCATGCGCAGATGCTTCAACTCCTACCGAATTCGGTTTTTGCGCAAGCGCAGTGCCCGCACCTGGTGCGGGCAAAGCGGGCTTGTTTATAAACAATGCGTTGGGTGTATAGGCCCCTTTCGAAATTCACGTGCCGATTATTAGAAAGTCGCAACCACTGCACAATGGCGGATATCTGCATCGAGGAACGTGCAAGTCATTCCACAAGGTGGCAAACGGCGGAGCGCGGCCAAGACTACGAGGCGACGAGTCAATCAAGCAGCGTCGAAAGTTTAACGTTATGGCGCTCAACACCTTTTTTTTTGTGTGTGTGTGTGTGTTTTTTCAGTAGGCCGTGACGTTGACGCTTTCGTTCGCAATTGTGCAGGAATTCCAGAGGCCCTAAACTCTGGAATACATTTTAGCGCTCAAAAACAGGGACAAAGAGGCGAGAAACAGACAGCACAGCGCACTGTGCTGTCTGTTTCTCGCCTCTTTGTCCCTGTTTTTGAGCGCTAAAATGTATTCCAAATTCCAAAACCAACTAGCCCAACAATCTGCCCTAAACTTGTCAGACACAAAGTTGGAGCCGAAAGTTTGCGCAGCGCGTCGATTGGACGTCGGCGAAAAAAGCGCGAAGTCATCGTCGTGATAGGCCAATCGGTGCGCTCCGTCAACTTCGGCACCAACTTTGTGTTCGACGAGTTTAGAGACCCAGAGCTGCCAACAGAAGGCGGTATTTCGAAAGGGGTCTATACACTCCGTGCGACGCGACTGGCGCGCCGCCGCGCGGCCGTTACCGAAGGTAGGCAGTGAGAACCCCAGAGAAAACGAAACCGAAACCACGCCGCGTACGTCCGGACGGATTGAGGTCGGAGCGGTGCGGTTGTGCTGGGTTCACAGCATGAAGTGCTGCCGGTGCTGCATCATTAAGTACTTCAATAGTTATGCTTTGTATCTCGTGGGGATATAGTTCCGCAGTTTTTAACCTCGCCGATGTTTTGTAGGACAGCGACAACGATGGACCCGCGATGTACGACCCGAGAAATTTGGTCTCCCAATCATGTCTGCCACTGTGTCGGACCGGCTGACATATTCAACACTGCCGCTTTGCGCTCTGCGTTTGTTTTCGTACCAGTAACGCTTACATGCGTTAGCGCCGATGGAACGAACTGAAACGCCATCCCGCACACTCGCGGGTATGCAGTGCCAATTTCGTTGGGTGAATGCCCTCCAGAGAAGTTTCGTCCCCATCGTACGTGTCGGTGATATTTCCGGACAAGTATGGCACGCAATCTGTACTTCATGAAGAAAGATTCGAACGGTAAAAAAAGTGACATATATGAATCTAAGGAAAACTACAATGAAACTCGAAATCACTGGAGAATCGACGTTTGAGTAGGAAGTTTATGTGGTGCGCTTTCTTTTTTTATCAGCCTTCTTTTGGCTGTGGAAACGCTGACTCCCCGAGTTCTGTAGGCAACATTTTTTTGCTCGGCTTTAGAGCGACCTATCGCAAAGTTGTTCGAACTGGAAGTACCGTCCACTGGTCCCTTCCTACCTGTAAAGTCTGCGCCTCCTAGGATGAGTGGTATTATCTTGACAGACTTTGACTGTCAAAACCGGTTCCCATTTAGCTACGCCGCCCAAAATAAATTTCCGCCTGGTTTCGCTATGCCACCTCTTCTTGGTGGCGGCATAAGTGTTGCCTGAAGTTACGGGCATGTAAAGTACCTGTGTGCCGAAAATCAGCACCTCGCACTGCAGGTTATTTCACAACAGCTGACCGCAAAAGCCTTTGACGGCCACACCGTGTGTTGGCCGGCAACTTTGTTTTCTCGGCTATGGAACCACCTTTCGTAAAGTTGTTTCAATTGGAAGTACAGTCCACTAGTCCCTGCCTACCTGTAAAGTCTCCACCTCCCACGACGAGTGGTATTCTCCTTACAGCCCTTTCATGGTCAAATCCGGTTCTCAATGAGTTACGCCGCCCAAACCAAATTTCCACCTGGTTTCCCTATGCCACCTCTTTTTGGTTTAATAAGTGCTGTATCGTGTTAGTGTCAAGTCCAAGCACCTGTGTGCCCAAATCTGCACTTCGCAGAGCCCGGTTATAACACATTTTTGGTCCAATATTGGATATCCCGTACAGCTTTATTTCTTTATTCGTCAGAAACTTAACTTTCACACCTGCTGTCTTAATGAAACTTGGCACACTTCGTGCAGAAACTTAGTGAACATCTCACTCGCCTCCAAATATCATCATTCCAGCAGTCCTACGTTTACAGCGACGACCGAAACAAATTTCCCACTCAGAGCAATTACGGCATCGGCCGTCTTGCTTTTCGGAAAATTGTCCAACCACTTTTTCGGCCGCAACTAGAGCAATTATCCCTAATAACGACTCAAACTCAATATATAAGAAGTGGAGAACAGCTAGATGCCTTTCTGCCCCAGCACTCATGCAACGTCACCCTCAACGTATCGGCTCAAAAAGGAAAAGTTTCGTCCGTGCGCGCTTCCACCGCCACAGCTTCGCACGCGGAAAGGCGCCGCAGGCTGCTGAACGCGCCTCACTGCCGAACGCCAGCTCCTCCGCTAGCGGTGCTACGCGCGCTTTTCAAAGCGCCCCCTATAGACCTTTTCAGAAAAGGGCTGCTGGCCGGTTTCATTTTCAGTGTTTGTGCGTATCGCGCGTGATTTGCTCGCTTTCCGAAGCGACGCACACGCGCGTGCTGAGCTGTGGAGATCGCACGCTGAGCTGTGGATTTGTAAGCATTGGAAAGGTCTATAGTTCCCGCACGGAGTGTATAGACCTTCACAAAAATCACCTTCTGCGCGCTACCACCTTTGTCTGCTGGGTTGTGGAACGCCTTCTGAGCATGAGCTGTTGATCTGATGTGCGGCATGGCTCATCACCTGGCCGAAAAATGCTGAGTAACTGAGCTGTGCACGCATGCGCAGCGTCTAATATGCCGCACAGCAGATCAACAGCGCATGCTCAGAAGGCGTTCCACAGCCCAGCAGACAAAGGTGGTAGCGCGCAGAAGGCGATTTTGGCAAAAGTCTATACAATCCGATGGAGCCAGCTGAGTGGCGTCAAAAGTGCAGCGTCATGGCGGTCCTTGTCAGTTTTGCTATTACCGACTAAACCAATCACGGACAGCAATCGTTCAGTGATTTAGCGCGTTTGTGTGTGTGTGCGAGCGTGCGCGCGCGCGTATGCGTATGTGTGAGTGTGATTCCTTTTGCAGGTGTTATAGTAAACACACAAAAACAACAACCACCGTGACGATGCACTTTTTGTTTTGCGCCGCTTCACAGGCTTTGTAGGAACGTAGCGTCGGCTGCGGTCTGACGCGGAAGTGAAGACGAAGGTTGGCTTCGATGTCCACAAGGGTGGGGTGATACGTGCCGGAAATAGACCGAGCAGAGGTCCGAACTCCAGGCTGCAGGCGACCGCAGGTCTCATCACGGTTGTCTCGCAGGAGTCGAGAACGTGTGCGACGTTCCCGTCACCGACTTGCTCCGCGTGTTCCGACACAACCGCGAGACTCCCGTTGCGAACGAAACTGTAACCCGACACAAAGAGGAACGTGTCGATTGGGCTGAAGTTTGCATAAACAAATACATGACCATTTGCTTGTCAGTGGTAGACGGTTACAATTTTAAGGACTAAAGGAGTGCGCAAACTTTGAGGGAACGCATAGTTGTGTTCGATCTAAACTTTTGAGATTGGAACGAAGGGCATTAGTCGTAATGTTCTTTCGGCGTTTTTCACTGCGAGTACGTAGTAGCCATGGAAGTGACGATAACCATTCTCTTAGATAAATGTATTTAAAACGTGACTAATTTTGCGCAGAAACCCTCGTAGGTCAGTAGATTAAATTGACAACAATGTAAAGCGCAACTGTCATATAT